AATCTGGAATGGGCTTCCAAGGGAGGTGCTGCTCTCCCCTACCTTGGGGGTCTTTGAGAGGAGCTGGTCATCTGACCCCAGCGCTCTTTCCTGTCCAGGGCAGGGGGTCAGACTTGATGATCTATTGAGGTCCATTTCAACCCTAAGAACTATGAAACAAAGGAGCCTTTAAAATACTGGGCAGAAAAAATGATAAGGACTCAGTGCTAAACTTTGCACCCTGGCAATTTGAGATGTAGGATAGCGGTAGGAAATTGCAGCTGAGTGCAGTTTGTCAACAAACCCCACTAGGCTAATCAATGGAGAATACATATCCTTTATAGGCTGCCCCCAAATAACCAAAGCAGGTGGCTAGTTTAAATAATTCTTCCTGTTGGAAATTATTATTCTGTAAAACCATAGATTGTAACCATACATAGCAAGGGGACAGTTGGGTTTTTTAACATGATACATGGGGTACTATGACTTTTCTCCATATAAATTGCCTATTTGCACCATGGGAAAGAGGATATTTTCTTCTGAAGCCAGAATAAAGTTTCATAACTTCAGGTTCGTCAGGCCAGAACATACTTCCAAAACGCAAATCCTGTGAAGTGTGGTGGTTGAATTAGGTGTAGAAGATAGTCCAGATTCTGATCTTTGTTGGCGCATGAATACCCAGAGTATACTGACTGACTTCATTGAAGTCGCTTTGGTAAGAATGAGATTGGCCTTGGGTTTTGGTATAACTCAAGCCTATTCCTTTCAATTAGAGCATCATAGAGGGTTAGCATCAGGAAACCAGTGTAGTAGGCAGCACCAATATCAGTCAGTAGTGTAACATGTGGGGCACCAGCTCTAGGCACCAATTCATAGGGAGGGCACCAGGATGCAGCCCCCATAGAGCTTAAGCCACTACAGCAGCCCATTTTTGGGGAATTTGCACTGTGGCAGCAGCAGCCCATGCCATTGCCTCCACCACTGCCTGTGGGTGAGGAGGTAAGTGCTCACTTCTCCACCCTCCCACCTGCACTGCTCAGGGCACTGAAATTTTAAGTTATGCCTCTGATCTCAGTAAATCAACACTGGCTATATGACTGCTTTTTGAGGATCTCTTGGACATGACAAAAAGGTGTGAAATCAAGAATTACATGCAACTTGAGTGCAATTAAGAAATCAGCACCTCTCTCTAAAATGCAAGTCACTGTAGCAGGCTTTTAATGGGGACATAATTCCAGTAATGTTAATCAGGCCCTGGTGATGTAAAAGGAGTGATTCAGAGAGACACTGTGTTCCCTCAGTCTGTCACTGTGGGGGAGGCATTGGAAATGCATGAGTGGGATTTGTGATTTTTTAGTTCTAACATGCAGGGATTTCCTCTTCAGTTAAAGGGAAAATTTTATTCCCCTTGCAGGAGAAATTGACTGGGGACCCTTAAGAAAATGAGTCAGGTTTGAAGTGTGGGTGTGAGGAATGGCGTTGGAAGTCATTAGGACTTGTTAGGCCAACAGGATGAGTTGTCTGCTTAAATTCAGTCACCAGGACAGATTAGATCTGTCATAGCATTTTAAGGACATTTTTTTAAAAAAGTAAACTGAAGGATATTGAACCTGGTTTTGTCTAACAAAAAGATTAACAATAGGAGATCTGGGTTTTAGCCCATGGTCTTGAGGAAATTATTTGAGCCAGGTCCATTGTCCTAGGTAGGCACCTGCTTGTCACTAATGGCCAGGACATGGTGGCTAACACTTCTGTGGGTCTCAGCTCTACAATCCACTTCCCAGATTTCTTCCCCACTTCTCTCTCTCATTTGTCACCTTTCTTAGTAGACCTCTTTTCTTGGTCCTCTTCTAATCTTTGTCCCCAAAGGAGAAGCCAGACTGATTGGAAGCTCACGCCCCGCCTTTGCTTACGCCCTTACCTATTCAGGCAAGCAGTTACAGTACGGAAGAGGTTATGAAACTATTTCCTATCCCTAATGCTCCATCTCTTGTAACTGGCCAAGCTGCAGTTTTCTGAATGTTTCAGTATTCCTCACCATCCTTTTGGAGAATGCCCTTTGAATTGCAGGCCAAGCACATAATAAAAATGAATTGCACAGAGGTTAACTGGACTGATTGATAACATACTCTTATGTTGTCCCATGAACTTTTTGAAAAGCATTTCATGCTGCACAGCTTTCACTGACCAGTCATATAGGTAAGCATAGTAGATCATTTAGGGCCCTGTTTAGTACTGTTTGCTGCAGTGAGGTGTCTGTCAATTCAGATAGACTTCTCTTAATAAGGAATATTTAAAAGCAGGGAGAGGGAGGACAGAAAAAGAAAGCAGGGAACTGAATGGCCTGATATTTTGATTTGGTTTCCTAAATTCAGGGATTCAAATTATATTTGGGCCTTTATGTACTTGTCTATATAGAGACTTAGGTACCTAATTTTGGACATGTGTGTTTGAAAATGGAACTCTAATTGATAATATATGGAGAGATGGAGAATTCAGTTGAAAAGTTGTCTGTACCCATATCTAAGCATATGATTGTTAATCAAAATGAAACTGTGAAGTAACGAAATATCAGGCATGCTCAGTTAATGTCTCTGCTTCTGATTTAGGTCAGCTCCAGCTCCCACCCAAGGTACTGGAGGTACCACCAATCTTGGGGCAGGAGGGCCTCCTTCCACTGCCAGTGTGACAAGCAACAGACGGCTGCAGCAGACGCAAGCACAGGTGGATGAGGTAACTGGTTTTTGACTTACTACACAAAACAGGAGCAAAAATAGGATGTTTTTAAGATTATAAACGAAATGTACATGCCTAGCTAATGATCCTACCACCCAAATTCACTTGAAGTCAGGTCTATAGAATGGGATTTACAAGAGAGATAACTTTAAATAGACCAATTGCAAAAGGGTATTACTTGGAGTACCAAGACCTATACGCCTGCAAGGCTGGAATAACTATACTTATAAATAAAAACTTTAATTTATTTATTATTAAAAAGAAAATCCACAGTCAAAGGAAGAACACAGATCATCAGTGGCAAAGAGTCCTAAACTGCTTTTGAATTATTAGACCAAGTGCCAGCATAGGCTCTTTGCCAAGATAATGATTCCCTTTAACTGCCTTAGTCATAATGCCAGCATCTATCTACAACCATATTCACTGGATTAGTGAAATGATTACTAATCCTGGGTGCAGCTCATTAAGTGTCACCCATCACTAATTGCAGGGTTTAATCCTGAATGAGCTGCTGTCTGGATGGCCAGTCATTTAGTGCAATTTTTCTGTGTTGTTAAATGCAGAACATTGTTTTCCTGAAGCACTTGATTAACTAATTCTACATTTAAGAGACAAGGGACTACAAGGTGAATACGACTGTTTTTTACCACCTTGAGGTCTTTACATCTGGATTACCATTAAATGCTCCAAAAATATCCATTAATTTCATTAGGAACCACTGGAGATACTTACCTCAACTCCAGACAGTCAAAGACTGGGGATAACCCTTAAATGCACATTGCAAAAATAGGCAAAACATTTAGGAAAAGCTTGGACTTCTTTTTTATTTAGATTAATTAGATTAAGTAAATTAGATTAGATTAATTCAAAAATAAATTTGAAAGTTCCTCTCTCCCAGTACCTTCTTTGGCCTTGATCTATGGTCTTTCTGAATGCTTCTCTTCTGACATTTGAAGCAGATCAAAACACCTGCAGAAAAGTCTATGTCCAGTTCTCTTCTCCTTTACAGTACTTGTGTTGAACAGCAACATGACTTTTGTGCAATGATTCCTGATTTCCACAGTGGAAAGTAAGAGGAGATGCAGACTTGTTATGTCTCAGTTTCTACCAGAATCCTGTCTGAGCCAAATGATAAAGTTAACTTATCTGGATATATTGCCTCAGGAGGCTGCTGTGAGCCAGAGGCCAGGCTATTGCATGATCAGAGGCAAAGCCATTGCCCCAAGAGGATGAACTGTAATATTTGCATAAATGACTATTTTACTGCTTTAAAGGAACAACTCAAACAAATGAATGGGCTTCTGGAAGCAGATCAATGGAAATGACTACATTTCAAATTCAGCTCTGAACTTTCATTGCTTGAGACACTCTTTTTAGTTCTAGTTTAACTCAGACCTATAGGAGTCAAGATTATAATGAGGAGGAATTTGAGTGGAGATGTAACATTTTTCATCTCATTGTCAGGGAAGTCACTACCTGGTGAGTTTTATAAGAGGACAGTAGGGCAACATAATTCCAAAGGCATTGAGATGGTAGGTGGCATATGAGACGTGCGGGCACATTTCTGTGCTCTATTCAGGACTAAGAGGGATAGAATTTGGGCCAGCTAAAAATATGGCCTATCATACATCACTTTTCTTGCTCTTTGACTGCCATCTTTTCCTAGTTTTGTTTCAGTGTGTCTTGTGGTAAAGTAGCCTTTAGGTGGCACCAAACACCTGCTCTTCAGAAATATAACAGTACGGTAGTCCTACAGCTACTGTTCCATTAGTGGCATTCTGTTTAAAAATTAGTCTCAAAACAGGAACAAAATTTATTTGCAAATGAGGGTGAAACTCTGGCCTCACTGAAGTCAATAGGAATATTGTCATTTACTTTACTGGGGTTAAGGTTTCATCCCCCATATTCTAATTCTGCTTCCCCTGAATACAATGGAAAGATGTTCTCATGAAGAACCTGCCTTTTTGGAATAATATGCAGTAGTTAATTCACCAAAAATTGCAGTTTCAAGGTGACAGAAACTAATCATCAAATCAAGGTGACTAGGTTTGGGTGGGGGAAGCTTTTGTTTCAACATTTTTAAGTGGAAAAGAAATTGCATTTGGAAAACTTTTAGAGACACCAAATTTAGCTAAACATATTTTTAGAACATTTAAGAATTAAATATAAATGTAATGAAAACAGACCATTTTGTTTCAGGTTAGACGAACCATTTTGTTTAACCTGAAATGAAATTATAGAGTTGGGTGGTGAGGTGGATGATGGAGAGGGAGACCTTATTTAGTTTAGTTTTTGCTTTTTTTTCCAGCAAGAAAACTTAAGCATTTCCATTACTATTTATGGTATAGGTTTTTTGGTTGAAACAGGCAAGCGACTATATTATTCTCATAGCTTTAGTTATAACTAGTCAAGCATGTAGTTCCATTCCTGTGGTGTTCTTTAAAGATCATTTCGCTTCTTAATTTCACTTCACTGTTTCCTGGCTGTGTGTGCCACTACTATTTTTTCTTGCTGATTATGCTGCTGCTGAATAGATTAAATTAGATGAACTGCAAGTGATGTAGACTGCAGTATCAACAGAGTATAAGGAATTGCAGACCAGCACCCATCTTCACTGTTGGCCTAAGTGGCCACAACCTTTTCAGTATCAACAACTGATGTGCCTGCTTAAGATGTTGACAAATTTGCACTGGGATTTTTGTCCTGGAACATCAATTTGTTTAAAAGGTTTTTAAAAAGGATGTTTTTGTTGAAGCAAAGTAAATATATAAAATCTGTATAAAATATGTAATTCCTGGGCCTTTCCCAGTATTTTCTATGTCTCTCCCACCTGTGAACTTTTGGGTATCAGGCCAAGGGCTAGGAAGAAAAATTGCACATAAATCAGTATAAGTGATTGGAAACCAGTTCATATCAGTAACACAGCAGAAGTTTAATGCACACAAACTGCTTTCAAGATGGCGAAAACCAGTTTAAGATAAACCCAGATGGAGGTAGTATTAGACTTAACTGATTTAGGTTAAGTCAGTTTATTGAACTTTTGTCCCAGATCCCCTCCAGATTCAAGTTAACTCCCAGTCCCCCAGTATCCCAGGATGCTTTGCACCTCCTCTGCAAACCCCTTCCCCCCTCGCAGGGTGGGCAGGCTCGCCTTGGCTTGGCTCTAGCTGTCTGCTCCAGCCAAGCAGAGAGACGTGCTCTAATGTGCCTGCCAGCTTCCAGCCTGGGCCACTGCAGGCATTTTGGCTGCATTTCTGGAATAAAAAGTGAATGTCTTTTCAATATACCCAGCTTCGACTAATGTGTGAAAATTGAATCTATTCAGTCTTGGGTTTTTTTATTGTCTGTACTTAGCCATGATGAAATGAACAGAAATAAGTTTATCTAGGCAAAACTTCTCTCCTCCAATGGACTACAACTGGGTGGTGTGTGTGTGTGTGTGGGGGGGGGGGTGATGGTGCTGGAAGGTTAATACACTATCCCTTCTGTAAATGTGTGTAGTTCCTCTTAACCAATTAAATAGACTTGATTTCTAAGATATGGCAACTATGTTAGAATAGAAATAGACTTGATTTCTAAGATATGGCAACTATGTTAAATCTACCCTGAAAATAGGAGTTTTGTCTTATTTGCCTAAGTAGCACTGCCAGTTGGCACATAGTGCATATATACAGGTGAGTACTTAGAAATGTGTACATAGACCAGTCTTCAGCGGCAGTAGTAAGGCAACTAAATGGGCTAAAGGAAAAAAACAACTCTTAATGGTGGAAATAATTATTGCACATACATTTTAATATCCTGGCATTGTATAGCTGTTAAACCTGGACACAGCATTGTTCCATGCACTTTATACTTGGATCTCCCAGGATATGCTAACAGTGCCTGTTTATACAAGCATTATCTATATTGCAGCAAACCATCACTTACTATGCAATCAAAGGGTCATTTTCATCATGATGTAGTATTTTGGCATGGTGACTACACTCTGATCTTCAGCCTTACCATGTTTGGAGTTTAACTTTGGAACTGTCTTTTTAGGTGGTCGACATCATACGAGTGAATGTGGACAAGGTTATAGAAAGAGACCAAAAGCTGTCACAGCTTGACAATATGGCAGATGCATTACAAGCTGGTGCCTCACAGTTTGAAACCAGTGCAGCCAAACTGAAGAGAAAATACTGGTGGAAAAACTGCAAGGTAAAGAGTATGGGTATCTTTAGTTAAGTCTTATACCTTACTTTTCACTCTGGTTTAAGCAGCCCATTTTACAGTATGTTGTCTTTCGGTTGCCTTTTCTTACATGCTGAAAAGACAGCTATTTTACTCTTTAAACTTACAAGATAACATTTGTGAGCTATGTTAAATAGAGATGGACTTAAATCTCCTCTTGGGACCAGAAAACCATAGGTCTTTGTGGTGGTTGTAATCTGGAGCAGAATATAAGCTTTGGTCCTTTTCAGAAGCAAGGCATGGCAGAATGTAAGAACTTCAGGGGAATGTGTAAAAAATCCTGCACTAAACAGTCATAAAATAAGCTCTCTTCAGAGAGTTTTTTTCCAACTTTTCCCCACAACAATTAGATGTTGCCTTCCATCACAACAGCGTGAGGAAAATACCTCTTCCAGTCTTGCTGGAAGAGGTATTTATTTATTATTTAATATTCATTATTTTGCGTAGAGCTAAATTTGCTGACTGCTGTCCAATTGCTGCCTGGGCCTCATAGTAGCCCTAACAAAGGGGTGAGTCAGCCCAGGCCCAGAAGGTATAAAAGGAGACTCCTCAGGTGACCAGGGAGCCTGTGACCAGGAAGCCAGTAAACAGGGACTGCAAAGAGGGGAAGCAGCTCACAGGCCAGTTCCTAGGCCAGTTCGTGGGTAGTAGCATAGCCTCTTATCATACAGTGGTGGGGATGTGTTGTACCGTGTGGCTTCCTGCCTCGGCCCCAAATGGTGCTCCCTTTCCTCGCACCACTGAGGCCTCCAACCAGATGGAATCCATGGTCCCAGGCTCCACCCAGATGCAGCCTCTGGCACCCGGCTGCGGGGAGCTGCCTGGCACGGCTGCCAGCAACTGGTAATGGGAGCACGGTCACTGAGGGGTATGCTGCTTAGTGAGGTCCCTGGAGTCACCCAAAAGTACCTGGAAGACAGTTATCTCAGGCTCTAGGACATGCAGGGATAGGGCTGCCCCTTCCCTGGCACTGCACAACAGGTACACTCCCCTCACCATGCATGAGGAGGCTCTGATGGAGACACCTGAGGAGGAGGTGGGTAGTCAGTGAACTGCCACCCCCAAGAGGAGATGCAGGGTGGTGGTGGTGGGAGACTCCCTCCTGCAGGGTACCGAGGGACCCATCTGCTGTCTGGAACCCCTCGCCCTTGAGGTCTGCTGCCTCCCTGGGGCGCACATCTGGGATGTTGCAGAGAGGATCCCTAGGCTCATCCAGCCCTCTGACCACTACCCCATGCTTCTCATCCACATGACACAGCCAAGAGTAATCTGGACCGAGTCATGAGCAGGGACCATATCAGCCCTGCCACTGGGCCCCCCCTCAGGCCCCAGGGGAGGCGCACCTAGACCAAGGGTCAGTGAGGGTCTAGTCAGGGAACTTCTGGAGGGACTGGATGTATTTAAATCAGCTGGTCTGAACAATCTCCACCCCAGAGTGCTGAGGGAATTAGCTGAGGTCATTGCGGGACCCCT